AACATGATTTGTACTTAATTACATGTTGTTTCTCCTTACCTTAGATTTGCAATGATTTATTATTAAATTATTATTTTGAGTAATACTTTTGATATTGAATATTTTGAGTACTGTATGAATAATCAGCAATTCAGACCAGTACATCACTTTAAAATCTTGCCTTTATATTTAGAAGTTTCTAATGAAATGCATAGATTGGAAAAAGTTTGTAAGATTGTTTTATGACACTGTTACATGACTGAAAAAAAAAAGTCAAAAGTTTGTATTACAACAGTCAGTTTTAATCCTGCTGAAAAAATATTTCTTAATCTATTTTACATCCCACAACAGAACACAAAAAGCATAAAGGATCTTATCACCTTATCTATGCTTCACTGACATTTGTAACTTTGTAGCAGACAGGCTTTTTAATCTGCATTAAGGTGCTAAGTACAGCAAAAGCGTTCAGTAGTTGCCAATAAACAGAATGGTTTGGTGACTTCTATCTCAAAATTGAAATTTGGATTCCTGTATTTACTTTCTCTGATTCCCTTTTCTCAGTTCATGTACACAGATGGCTTAATCAAGCCTGCTTTCACTGGTTTTCTCCTCCAGCTCGCATTTGAGTGAAATGCAACCTCTCCTGCTACTGAAAATTTTTTAAAACTTGGGCAGTGGAGGTGCGAGTGGGAATATGACCATTCACAAATTCTTACAGAACCTATATATCAAATGCCTAGGACCTTACTGAGGGGAATCTTCAGGGGGGTTTCCCCAAGTGGTTTGAATTAGCTCCTGGGCTTCACCCAGGTTTTCTTAGCCAGGACTTCTGGAACATGGTTATTGCAGAAGGATATTAAGGCATTAATCATCCTATTATAATAAAGTTAAGACACCAAAGGTTCCTGTTCTTCTTTCCAACTCTTATTATTTCATTTTCTTTGAGATCTAAGACTAAGTCAAAAGAAAAGTTGGAACACAAGTCACCGTGAAATGACGTACATTTCACTGCAGCGTGTGGGAAGAGCTGGCTGATTGTGAAACAGCAAAGCAGTGTTGCTAAGCAGCTGCTTTAAAACAGTCTTCTTCCATCACATATAAAGATTTGGAGTTTCTAAAATTCACAATACCCCAAAAGAGGAAAAAAAAAAAACAAACCACAAACAGCATGACTGGTTATTTTGTATTCATACAAAGAAAAAAATTAATAGAATCTTGCAAACACATTCCTGTAATTACTAAGGAAAGTTAGTTAGAAATTACTGGGGTGAGAACGTGTTCAACATTCTCTCCATTCAAAATACATAAGAGTCTTTACTTTAGATAAGATAACTCTCTTTATTATTAAGGAATTTGTCTCTTCCATGGAAAAGTTTCTCAATAACATCCCATGCATTCAGCATGCGAGTCAAAAAACACTAACCAAGTTAAAGGGCTACAAAGATGACTAAGAGACTGGAGCATCTCTCTTATGAGGAACACTAACCAAGTGAAAGTGATAAATAAGGCTGTCTTTGCCACAACACTAATCCTAAAGGGCAAACACTTTATGCAGAGCTTAACTCTACGGATGCATGTACACTTTAAGTGAGAGAGAGGCGTGAGGGAGGAAAAAGAGCCTGACTATAACTAACACTGGAATCATGCCCAGTCCTCCTCAGTAAAGGTAAAACTGTAAGATCAACATTGTGACAGAAACAGGAACAGGATGCAGTAGAGGAAGGGGGCGGGGGGAACCCTTTTACCACAGTAAAACTATTTGTCTGTGGAGATACCATTTTTGTTTACATTTATCCTATCCTAGTTTCCATTCAGAATATTATCTCCCCATCCCTATAACTTTTTTTTCTTTTGTTCATCAGAGGTTTGTTTCCTTCCTACATCTGTATTGCCAAAGACTAGGCTTTTATTTCTGTGTGGCACAGAGACCTAGTAACCTTTTAACATCCCCCATGAAACAAGTTTTCTCCCTGCACAGAGAGAACACCATATTCCCTAGCTGTATTCAGGCTACAGCAGCAGAAACCTCTACTGGCTCCTCACTATCCTCAGTCCAACCAGTATTAATTATCACAGCACTATCCAGGCATTATAGTAGGCAGTGTAATTATTCAAATGCAACAGTTCTGAGGGGGGGAAAAACACCCCACAGTAAAAGTTACTGTCAAGGATGCAGCCAAAGAAGCAGCTCAGAGAAACAATACAAAAAGAAGCATCATCAAGAGTGCTGTGTTGGGAATATCACCTGAAATATTTGTATCTCTGAGAAAACTGCCAAAAGGCTGAACGAATGTGACCTGTAGGACAAATGGCTCTGCTCACTTACTGTTCAATGAAAATAAAAGCAGTAAGGGAGATATATTTCTCTTGTACTCCAGTCCTGTACTCACTGGGGTGACAAAAAAGAAAACTGAAAATAAACACAGCCATTCAGACAAAGTAGATTGGAAAAACAGGAACAGGTTCATGACCCAAAGAGGCAATGAAACAGATCCTGATTGTGTAATTAACGATGAAAAGTTCTTACAGATAGGCATAAAGCTTTCTAATTCCCTCTCCTCTACCACATACCTACATGTAAACATTTATCTGTGTTAGAGAGGGAGACTGCAGCACCTCAAGAGAGCACAAGAATTGGGCAAACTTCCTTCAAACATCAATAGGTTCAGCAACTGGTAATGTCTACAAAATTAGTATAAAATATTATTAAAGCACAAACCTGTAAACAAAGAATCCTAAAGCAAAAAAGATTTTGAAGATGGCCTGTGAAGGAGACTACAGAGACGAAATAATAATTAGTTCAGCTGCTTGATTTTGATTGCCCTATATATCCTGTCCACTCTGTCCTCTGATCCGCAGAATATGAGTGGAAAAGCCACTGAATGGCAACTGCAAAGCTAATTATGTCTAAAGATGATGTGCATAGTGAAGCAGCAGCAATCACTATTGATGCAAACAACATAAGAATAGAAGGACACAAGATGTACCACACACAAAGTAGTTCAAAATTTGGAAGTTGATCTACACTTGTATCTCAATTATAAAGAGTAAATATGAAGCAAAAATGAAAGACCTAGGCACAGATCTAGATCAGTAAAATTCAGAAAAAATATTTAAGAGATTATGATCTAATAAATGCTAGGAACCATAGCATATTATTTTTCACAGAAACTATCTATGATAAATTTTGGAAGCTACAGCAAAAAAAAAAAATTGAAATGTATTAATTGACAAAGGATTTTGGAAGGTCTACATAAACTATGCCATTGGCTAAAAATTTTCCTGTGAAGAAAAGCAACATAACAGAATCTAAGCAGAGAAAATAATAAGTACTAGATTCCTACCTGAAACAGTTCAGCATTTTCAAGTCTCAGTAGTAAGTTCCCACGTGCTTTACTGTATTTGTAAAGGAGTCAGGAAGCTGAGAAAGCCATATGTGCACACCACCCAAACCAATAACAGTTTATAGGAGCTGTGATGATTTTTGTTAAGTGAAGAAGCAATATGAACAATTGAATATGAAATCCCTTGAGATTTTTATACTGGAGCATAGTGAATCTCTAACGAGATTATTTACAGTAAACCAAGCACTGTTTAGCAAGCAAAGCATGCCACTTCATTCAGACAAGGACTCGAAGATGCAGGGATGAAGTACTGCTTACAGCAGATTGCTCTAGCATTGTGCCTACACACATAGACATACATATGTATGTGTAGATATAGATGTGTGCGTGCACATCCCTTCACACAGAAAACAACAATGTTTATTTACAATTAACTTCCTTCAAAATTAAGCCTTCAAGTCTGAAGGAGTCCCATCCCTGCTCTAGTCATGAAGGCTCACTCACAGGCACACTGAAACTTCTGGCAATGGCTCTGCTAGGAAAGAATCCCATTGGGTGGGAGGGCTGTGTGCCCATCACGGACGGTAAACGCTTTTCCCAACGCATTCCCTTTCTGTAAATCCAGCAGAGGGCCCACTCCGCCTGGAAAGGATCTTTCCTTCCTCTCTACGTGAGTGGCCGCGGGAGCCGCAAACCAGGAGGCAACAGTGAGTTTGCAGTTCCAAGTACCTGGACAGCTGGACAATTTCTTGGTGTCATAGCTGGCCTCTGTATCACGGTGCCCACCCGTTTGCTTATGAAGATGTTTCCCCCTAAAGCGGAAGTCCTGGAGCAAAAGACCTGAACAGGGAGCAAAACCCTAGCGCGGCAGGGCATGGCTTGGGGAGGTAATGTATCATATGATGAATTTCTCCAACACAGGATCATCAGGATTAACTTTCCCAGCAGGCAATCACTAATAAACAGGACACACGCATACTGGATGCTTGAGACTCGATCAAAGGACCGGAGGGGCCTTTTATATTCCTATCTGCAGTGGTAAAATGCACCTATACCCTGAGACTAAGCAGCATTTAGTCAATTTATTCAGCAGGGCGCTTTATGCCTATTATTTTTAGTGTGCTGCCTATACTGAAGTTTTCCGTGTCATTCTTTGGTTCAGCAGCAATTTAACAGCTTGTGCACCGACCCACATTTTCCTTCTTCATCTGCCACAGGATGCTTGACTGCAGCACGTTGGTGAAATTATATCAAGGCACAAACAATAAAGGTACCAGAAAACTGTGTTAATTTCAGATGACAGCAAGTGGGGAAAGCAGTGTTTGTAAATGAGGTCAAACCGCTACTTCCAAGCTTGTGAAGGGCTGCTGTGAACCCGTGCGGAGCTGAACAAGCCAAGCCCCGTACGTGCGGCAGCAGCAGGGGGTGGCTCCGCACGGCCCGTAACGCCGCGGGGCTCAGGGGTCAGTCCGGGCCCGCCCCGCAGCGCTCGGCCCCGGCACCGCTCGGCACGGCCCGGAGGGTGCGACCGCGGGGCACAGACCGCCGGGCCTCCTCGAGGGTCGCGGCCCGGGCGGTGCCCGCCGGTGTCCCGCGCGTCCGGCAGGGCCTGTCCCGGCAGGGTCTGTCCCGGTTCCCGTCCCGGGCGGCCCCGCCCGCCCCGCGCGCGGCGCTTACGGGAGTGGCGCATCCAGCGCAGCAGGCGGGGCAGGTCGGCAGCGCGCGTGCCCCGCACGGCCGCGAGCACGGCGCGCCGCGCGGCACCCAGCTCCATGGCCGCGGGGGGGCGGCACCGCCACTGCGCACGCGCAAGGGCCACATTGCCCGGATAGGCCCTTCGCGCATGCTCAGTTTGGCCCGTGGGGGGGGTGTCCTCCCCCCGCGCGTGCGCTGTGCCCAGCCCCTCCCCCTATCGCCCTTAAGGCGGCTCCCGGGGGGCCCGCAGGGCGCGGCAGGGACGTTGTCGCGGGGCCACTTTAAGGGGCCCGTGGTGGCGCGCGCCCCGGAAGCGGAAGCGCGGGCGGCCCGCGGGGAGAGGCCAGTGCTGACGTTTCTCTGCCGGCCGCGGCTCCAGCGGCGTCTCGCGGGGGCCTCGCCCGGGGGCAGCGCGAGCCGGGACGGGACAGGACGGGCCGGGCGCGGCTCCGCCCGCGGGTCCCGCGCGGCGCGCACGGTGAGAGCTCGCAGCTGCCGCGTCAGCGGGGCCCGGCGGACGGCGGTGTCTCAGGGAGCGGCGGGGACAGAAGGTGGGCACCGGGCCCTCCCGGCCCCGGGACGGGACGGGCGGCAGCACGGGCCAGGAAGGGCCCTCGGCCCTCCGGAGCCCGGTGGGAGCAGTTCTGGGCCTCCCGGAGCAGTCCCCGCTGTCCGAGTTCCTGGGACGGGGCTCCCCGGGCGCTGTTTGCGACCAGCCCGGGGTGCCCGGGGAGGAGGCAGCGGCCGGGCACGTATCCAAGGCTGTTACTTCGCCTCTCCCTCCTTTCCCGTGAAAACGAGGGCGTTGGGCCTTAAGCGAGACAGGCGGTCCCCGCTGCCGCCCCGGGGGCGCCTTCCCGTCCTTTGCCGGGTAACTTCTGGAGGTGGAAACTCGTAAGCTGAGGTCGAGTAACGCTGCAGCAGCTCCAGCCGTCCCCACCTGTGAAACAGCTGCTGCTCCGTTACAGTATTTGATTTGTGATTAGTTTAATGCCTCTACGTGTACCTTTAGCGTAACTTTATTCTCCAGACTTTAACTAAGTGTCCCTTTTGCTTGTTATCTTTTAAACAGCTGTTTAAACAACTCCTGCCCTTCAGAGCTTTTCCCTTTTTAAAATCCTTTATGTAAAAGAGTACTGCTAGATTAGCTAGGCAGATTTATTTAGGTTTATGCTGAGGGGCAGTCTATTCCTGTTGGTTTCCTTAGACCTAATGAGCCCCCCACTATTTCTGCTGCCCCTTGGTTCCTGAAATGCCTGTTCCTGGCAGAAGCACGGAGTCCTGGCACTCCGTGGAGCAGTCCTGGAGCTCAGTGTGGAGGTGCCCAGTGGCTCAGACTGTGCAGAGCTGAGCTCAGCAGAGACCCACTCACCACAGCCCAGCGAGTCTCCTGGGGGCCCTGCCGGGTTTAACCCCGCTCAGGGTGTTTGTGGGGTGCTGCATTAGAGGCAGCTCTCCAGAACTACGGATGCCCAGCACATCTATGGTCTGCAGTGCAGTCACTGCCAGTGCCCTCCTGGCTGCCTGCCCACCCGAGCAATTGTCTGGAGTGCAGCTCTCGACTGGGATGGACTGTGTGTGACAAGCTCTATTACTTTCTCTACTTGGCACTCCTTAGTAATTTTGATGGCTTGTGATTTCTTAATGTATTAGCAAGAGCAGCTGATGTGAAAATGCTTAAGCTCATCTCCTTAGCAAAGTATTCCTATTATAAGGCTGTTGGAAGAAGCTTTTGGAATTCTGCAGAGGAAACATTTGTATACTAGGGCATAATTAACTTTCTGTATTTAGAGAATAGAACTCTGGAAACTAATTTTAAATATTGAGCAGTCACATGGCCTCTGTATGTTGGTCATCCTATCAAATTTCTTAGCTGTTATATCCAAGTATTGTAGTTAAGTTTTGTCTGTAGCTGCAGTTTTAGCAGCTCAAAGCTTACTGAGTTGCAGTGCTATTTTTAGAGGGGTTTATTTTTGCATTGTTGTGATTTTCATAGGAAATGGGCTTGAAAAGTGTTTTGAACATCTGTTTTGCTGAGACCCTCTTGTACATCATATTGATGATAACGTTTTTTAGAATTATGGTGCAATAATGTGAGTTATATGCCTTGTAAGGAAGGAAACCTTGGAGTTTTACCACTTCAGATAACATGCAGAAGTTGTCTTTCAGCAGTGTAAGAAGGTGGACATTCATACCTGTTAATGTACTGATCTTCAGATAATCTATGGGCAGAGTTCCTTAGGGAGCACAGACTAATTTTTTAATGAATATTGAGATGGCATGGTAATGGATATCACTTTGGAATTTCCTGTACATACAATGTACAATAAATCTAAAATATGTAATTATATTTATTTGCGTCATTTGCTATACCCAAGTCCTGTACTTACACTGGATTTATTTATCCTACATCTTTTGAAGCTCCTGGAGACTTTGTTCTGCATTGTGACCTCAGTATTGGGGTGGGGGGTTAGACTGGCAGTTGGTTTTAAGGTTTTGGTGTTGGTTTAACCTGCCAACTTTGTAACAATAGTAACTCTTAATTAGACACAGCAGTCAGGAGGTTGGCTTGCATGGCTGACTTGTTTTAGCTCTTTTGGAATATATCTGGGGGGTTATATAGGAGGTGGAGTGGTTCAACATGTTGACCTGAACATTCATATTCTTCAGAAGTTAACTTTTTATGGTTTCTTAAGTGTAAGTTGTGGTATGCTTATATGTGAGATTTGTGCCTGTAGTGAAAAAAAAACAATCTGTTTTTCAAATAAATCCATTAAAAACTACAATGTGCATTTTGCTTATTAAAGTACAAGTGGGTTTGTAGGGTTACTAAAATGGGAAATTCGGTTTGATTTATTGGAAGCTGGATAAAATGCAACCAGTAAATAATGTTCAATTTTGGTACCAAAATGTCTTGCTTCTAGTCGTACTGGCTTTGCAGGATGCAGAGTTTCTGAGCTATCCTGCTTGATTTTATTCTGTCATGTAGTATATTGCTGACAAGAAGATAAAAAGCAGGTAGTCTTCTTTCTTGAAGTATGTCTGAACTGTTTTTTCCTGGTGAATTCAATGCACTTATTCTACATGGTGAAATGCTTCCTAATTGAAGTGTGGTATCTCTGTTTTTAAGTAGGCCATCAGGATAGCTTAAAATTAGCTTCAGGCCAGTATTTCCTAAAAATAACTAAAAAAGTAAAACTTTACTTTCTGGAATGTGAAGCAGGATTCTTCACCTGAAAGTTACTGGAATAATTAATTAGCGACAGCATAACTTCAGCTAGTTTTAAACTTGGTTTTTTTTTACATTGTTTTCCAGATTCTTCTGAGTTGTACTTAAAGCTGCCAAAATGGTTCTCGCAGATCTTGGAAGAAAAATAACTTCAGCATTGCGCTCCCTGAGCAATGCTACGATTATCAATGAGGAGGTAAGTAGTGTGCAAGTGTGATGGCACTAACGCTTGAAAAGTTCTGAGAAAAAGTTCTCACAGGCTGATGAAAAGCTTGAAGTAGGTTGATGTTATCCGGGGTCTCTTTTCTTTCTTCAAGTAAAATTTCTACTGGAGGTTTTAACATCCTGAGAGTACTGCCAGAACTTAAAACTAGATTTGTACATGGATAATTATCTCAGATGTAGTGGGTCCTGTAGTCGAAGGGTCCTTGAATGGTGGCTGTACTTAGGGAGATTAATGTTCTGTGGAGGTAATGCCAGAGGAGGCATATACTAAATTGTGGGTGGAAGGTAGGTACCTGCTCTGAGTTATGGTTATATGTGCAGCCAGACTATGCAGATGTAGAACTAGGCTGATGGAAGCTGAAGTGTGGAAGAACAAACAGCTTTCAGTGTAAGCTTTGCTGTCTGAAATGTGAGGAGTATGTTGTTTGCTGCCTTTATATTCAAGCCAGTGTGTGGTTCTGGACATTTGTTTCACTTGGTATAGTCTGTATTTTTTCCAATTAAGAGTTTGAAATTATAGCTAGATGTGTTCTGTTATGGGACTGAAAAGCAAGATGGCAAACTAACTAATGTCATGGTTTAAATGTGCCTCTGAGTAAATAAATTGTTAGAAACTGTTTTCAGGTGGACAAACAGCTGGCTTTAAGTAACTGAAAAGTAGGCTTATTGAGACCTATAGGGTTGGAACTTGTGCATAGAGGAAAGCTTTTAACATATTGGCAGCTGGGAGACAACAAATCCTTAACTGAGTCAAATACAGCCCAGTATACAGCAGTAGAAACTTTTATCCTCCAAGAGCTCAGGATGTGCAAATGAGGCCATTTGCAAAAAATGTTTCTGTTCAAGACTTTCCACTTTGAAAAATCTTACAACTAATAAACTTGGTTTCTATCCGAGGCACCTGCTTGCCTACAAGAAATACAACCAGAGCAGCAGTTCAGTTTCTGAAAATGCAGCTAGCAGGGTGTCCATCTTGCAGTTCAGGAATACCTGTGTTTACAGAGATGGTGGTGTGATATGAGATTTTTTGGTGTACTCTTTTAGTACCTGTAGGGAAGTTTAGGAAATCTTGCTAGCATATGAGCTGCTGTTGGCCTTAAAGCAATAGGAAGTGTTCTGTTGTTAGTATGTTATATAGTGTGCAGTTGCTACAATTGAGAATCCTTTTTTTCCATTATTACATTTCAGATTTAAATTGTATTTATGTAGGAACAAATGCACAGACTTTTTTTGTGGTGGTCAATCCTGTATATTGTAAAACAATTTTTCTTTTATACTCCAAAGGTTTTAAATGCTATGTTAAAAGAAGTATGTACAGCATTACTGGAAGCTGATGTTAATATCAAACTTGTGAAGCAACTTAGAGAAAATGTCAAGTAAGTGAAATAATCAGAATGCATATAACTTTTGATGTTTGTAAAAGTTGTTATTTGAGGTTACAGAAGAATAACTAATTTATAACTTTATGTATTTTAGACACACCCTTTAACAGGAAAATGCAGTTTGCACTAAATGTTTAACCAGTTTCATCAAAAGAATTTTCATCAAGTTTAGCCATTTATTGCTGTTACAGGCTTTTTTCAAAAAACTGTTGCTGTCATCAGCTGAGTTCTCTGATAAACAAGTTCTTCATT